GATCCTTGCTTCCTCTGTAGTCCTTGCTGAGAGTTTTAGCTATTAAAGGCTGTTTTGCACCGTAACATTGCCAAGATATTAATAGCCAGGCAGAAAGATGAATGGCAGGCTTACACTGCACAATTAAAACTTTTCCAGTTTACCCTTTCTGTAAAATTTGTGGTTTATAATAACCATCTTTCCCTATTCTGAAGAGAGTATGGATTGGAAAGTTACATAGATGGGAACAGAGGTTCATTACAGATTTAAAATAGAATGTGGTTTGGCATTGTAAAACAAACATGCGTATAAGATGGGCCGCATCAAGAGGAGACTGAAAGACATGCTCAGTGTTCCTCTGCGCTTGTGATCCTGCATTTACCGGTCACGCTACCCACAGACAGGGATAAAAAAGCAGCGGGGATAAAATGTGCGTGCTTGTTCCCCTATAACATGTCAGCCTGCTCTACATCCCTGCTCATTCCGCATTTCTGATACTTACTGTGTGTCTATATATGCACGTATATGAGATACCTAGATATTCATCAACATACACAGACTCTGTATTGCTGATTTTCTTAGCTTCGTGCCCAGAGAGCCCTATAAGTGAACAAACACACAACAGCCTGCAGGGAGCTGGTGAGCACTCAGCCATGCAGGGAATACACATGTGATTTGCTTGAGCCCAGCTCAGAACACAGCCCATTGCTGTGCCTCAAACACACGAGGACGGCAGGAGGAGGGAGACAGATCAAAAGCATTCTTGAAAAGCCAAGGTTTGAATAAGAGGGCTAACATCACCAGGTAATTTATTTATACTGTTGGACACGGCTTCAATTTAGATAAAAGGCAGTTGCTTATCACATGGATTTTAATAAATCTGTTTAGGAGCCACAGAAACCTGCAGACATGGGCTCTGCAACTGAAAGCTGTGCACACAGAGTGAGGCTCCATCTGCAGAGGCTCCAAGAGCGCCCGCTCCTTGCAGGAGCACAACGGCTGTCAGCAGCACGGATGCTCGTTGCTAGCGAGCACCTAAGCCCAGGCCCATAAACCTGATGATTAACAAAATCTAGCACTAGAGGGAGGCTGAACACACTTTCTGCTCTCTTTGGTCTTTTTGGCTTCTCCATGCATTCAAAGGAAGGCGATTTCAAGTGAGCCCTGCTGCAGGCAGAGCCCAGCAGAGCAGAAGATGGGAGATCCCAAGCAGCACCCCACGCTCTTCCCTTCCCCAGTGCCTTCTCAAAATAGATGCTCCAAACTGAAAACACCAAAACGTTTTCCTGGAAAAGGCAGCAGCAGCACTTGCTCAGGGAGGCAGGCAACAGTTGCTCAGGACACAGGATCAAGGCACTATTTTCAGCCCATGCTGGTCAGCCTGGTGACCCAGGCACATCACTTTCCCTGCTTCAGCTTCCTTATCAGGCACAGACCAGTGTTTCTTTTGTGAAGGGCTTTGTGGTCCATCAATAAAACACATGCTGATAACGGCCAGGGGCTGTCGGGGGAGATGCAATCTCTGAGCTGAGCACAATCCCTACTTGGGTTTCAGCTAAGGTCCCAGATGACTGTCAGATCTGTGCTGCAGACACAGCACCTGGGGGTAATTAGCTGCAAAAGCTGTGGCTGCTCCAGGAGTGGGACCTGAGAGTGAGGACAGCCAGGGGGGTTCCACTAGGGGCTCACAGAGAGCTGCAACCCCCACTGCTGGGCTCAGCCTGAGGTCTTCAGGGGAAGGCAGGGTAGGGACCAGCTGTTCACATCACCCCAGTGCAGGTCCCATCCCAAAGAGCCGCTGCTTTTAGCAAGGATCCCACTGTGAGCAGAGCTGGGTGCTTGTGCGAGCTGCTCAAGTTTGTGCTTTCCCCATCCTGCTCAGAGTGCCTTTTTGGAGAGCAGAAGGCAAAACGAAGAAAGAAATCTCCCTGCCTCCCACATCTATCTATTTCCCTTTGACAAACAGTGATTTCATTTTTCTTCCCATCCAGATTTTTTTTTTTTTTTCTTTTAAACTGAGCACAAGCCAACGTGGCAAAAGCCTCTCTGCTATGTCCTTATTTGTCAAACACACCATCGCCGCGCCCTCGGAACAAGCCCCTGCCATCACCACTGCCTTTGGCCGAAGGGGAACTTCCCAACACAGCTGACCCCAGCTACAGCATGCTGCTTTTTAAACTAAACTTTTTTTTTTTTCTTTTTTTTTTTTTTTTTTTTCCCTGAAGCATTACAGTTAATAGGAAAAGAGTTGAAATTTCCTTCCCCTTTTCTCCCCGACCCTGCTGCCAGTCGGAACGTGATGTATCTGGATGAACAAACAGAAATTACAGGAAAAGGCCAGATCTATTGCAAAAGTACGCTGTGGCTCAGACCTCAGTGCAGGCACCTAGAGGGAAAGTCAGATACTAAAGTACCTTTTTGGATCCAATCCTAAGCAGCCAGCTCTGCCGTCCAAACACAGATCCAGAGATAAACAGCCCTACGAAAACTGGGCATTATTATTTTAACTGCTGCTCCACAAGCTACAACTTAAACTGCAATAATCTGTGCAGCTTTCAGCTGTCAGACAGCAGTGCATGAAATGATAATAAACTGACCATATATCTGCTGCTGCCCTCAACACATAGTGTAAAAACTTTTACCTGGAGCCACAGTGCACATTTTTCATATACTCTCATTGGAATGAAACCTTCTGTCATCCAGAGGATGTCCTGTTGTAGGAAGGCTGATACGTTTCCAGCTCTGCAGCAGGTTTGGAAGAGCCATGGGGGCAAACTCCTCAGACCTGCTCCGAGCCATTGGATCAGAGGCTCTGGTACATGCATTCAACAGAGATAAAACTGAGGCCCAGAGATGATGGGATTTGATGGCAGAGAGTAGAACTAGCTTCAGTTTGTTGGAGCCCAGTCCAACTGCCTTTGTGCTGAGCTATCCTGAGGGAGCATCTGAAGGCTGGAAGCCCAACAGGCATGGCACCATTCACCCTGCCACATCAGCTGGGCAACTTCTGCAAGCAAGTTCAGTCCTCACAGGCATCAGACATTTCTCTCTGTTTCCACAGGTTGGATATTAGGAGGACATTTCTTCTCAGAAAGAGTGGTGATGCACTGGCACAGGCTGCCCAGGGAGGTGGGGGAGTCACTGTCCCTGGAGGTGTTAAAAAACCGTGGAGATGTGGCACTGAGGGATGAGGTCAGTGGGCATGGTGGGGATGGGTTGGATTTGGTCATCTTAGAGGTTTTTTCCAACCATAATGATTCTGTGCTTCTATTATTTTCCATTTTCCTCCCCGACTCCCCAGCATCCCTTCTTGCATTTGGCTGCTCCCACAAGATAAGGATCTGACCCTGATTTGCACTGACTTATGCTCCCAATCTCTTTCACTGAGGATTGAAAGAAAAGGAAAAGGAAAAAGAAGATGAGTGAGCACAGATGAAGGATGAGGCTCTGTGTTAGCTGTGCAGAGTACACTGGGAAGAGGTGGCATGCGGGGATGCACCTCCAGGCCCTGCTTCCCCCTGACCAGGCCATCCTGCACAAGAATCCAGCTCTAACCAAATGCCTGCCAAACCCAGTGCTGCTAACACTGCTCCAGCTTCAGCTTCCCAAAGTCAGAGAGAAAGGGTGTGACAAATAGCAATTACATGAGCTCAGCAGGCAGAGCCAGCCCAGCTGCTGGTTCTACCAACATGCCAGTTCCAATGAGAGCCCTGTGCAGCTCAGGCACATCTTCGGCCCGATGAATGAGGCACAAGGATCAGAAGACATGTGCCTCACTTGAACATGACTAGGTTTCCTCTCTGAAAATCCCCTGGGCTGTGGCAGGCCCTGGGGAAGCAGGGAGGCAGCAGGGTCACTTCCCAGCGCCTGGCTCCCCAAGGACTTCTTGGAGAGATGGAGACATGGCAATACTTGTTGGGGAATTGCTTCATTCCCCCAAGGCTGGCAAAAGCCATGCTTCTCACGTGGCTCACATCCCATGGTCACAGCCCTTCCTGGCAGTGGGGAACATAATTGCCTTTAACCCCTTCTTTCTGCAAGGATGCTTCCAATGCTGAACCCATTGCAGGAACAAGCTTGGAAGTTGTGAAAGCATCTGAACACTTTGCTACAGGCAAGAGATCACAGGAAGCTCATGCTTTCTTTTTACAGAGGCATAGTGTGGATGAATCAACTCTGCAGTGTCAGGAACAAAGTCTCTTGGACCCTGTTCAGTGTCTGCCCACTTGCCTGCTCTCAGGCTCACCTCCATCAAGAGGTGAAACAGATCTCCTCCCTCCCTAGTGTTCATTCCTCAGACATATTTTAGGTTGGCAGCCACAGCCTTCTTTTTGCTCAGCTAACAAACTAAACTCTTCTGGTCACCAGTGACAAGATCTCAACTCCTTGCTCCTGGATCACCCTGACCACCAGTCTCTGTGGTCTGAACACAGCTTTCCTGACCTAGCACAGCAGGACCAGCACGCCAGGTGAGCCTGTGATGTCCACACAATGGTGCCCAAGCCTTCCCATCCACAACGCACATACCATCACATCTTAGAAGTTTTGCTTTCATCCACATGGCCGATCTAGAAGATCCAACCCAGCAAAAGCAGGGTCCCAATAACATCACTGGAGTTTGAGCCAGGGATTATTTGCTTCATTTAATTTTAGGCATCTAAACAAAGCACTTTTAGGATCAGATTACTGCCCTAAAGTCTCTCCACAGTCAGTGGAAGGAGATGGTCCTTCCAAAAAACAATTCATTCTGGGAAGGTTTCACTCCCATCCACTATCACAAGGGCAGAATGCAATTAGTTTTCTAATTCAAGCCGGATGGGAAAAATCCTTTAATAGCCCAGTAAGTTTTGAATGGAAATATTCCCTACTTGGGAAACAGAACTTCCTAATGCTGACTTGATTGTTCCTGACACGTCGTTTCAAACCACAGCACTTTGCCACTTTGTTTTATTACCATATGTTTATTTTCACAACCCTTTTGAATCAGTTCTGCACTCCCAATAAAATTCTTGTCTTCTTACCTGCACGTTGAAAGCAACGTCATCCAGAGGGGGCGGTGGGGGAAAGGCACCTTGTGATGTGATATTCCCGAGGTCATCAACAGGAGGCGGAGGTGGAGGAAGGAAGTCTCCTAGGAGAGAGAATCGAGAGAACTTAGGCTTATCACAGAGCACCAGCATTTTCCCACATCATTTCAGAGCATCTCTCTGCTGCCCAGAGGGAAAGCTGGTACATAGAGAAGGGCAAGGGGGATGGACCAGTTCCTTGGTGCCTGGACCCCGAAGTGGCTCGTGAAATACTCACAGCTCTGCCTCTATGGCAGTCAACACATCATTTGACCACAACCTACAGCTGTTCCCCTCACTGCTGCAGGAGATGGCTATGATGGCTCAGTAACATTTGCAGATTACTTAGCGGTCCTCAGAGCCCAGCAGAACCACAGGTGACTTGCCACATTGTCTGAAGGCAGTAGCATGCAGCTGCACTCACCAAAGCTCACATCTCATTTAAAGCTGCTGTAGGTGGCTGAAGAACTTGGACTGATGAATACCCCACATCCAGCGGAGTCCTCCACGGGATCCATCCTGCAATGGATCCCACCCAATTCACTCCCCTCCTCTGCTAGATGACACCAGCACTTTTGGTCATTAAGACTACCAGATGCTGACTGCAAGCAAGGACTCCTGGCTGGAGAGGACACCCAGAGGGCTGGCCATGGAGAACCAAGCACAGTTCCAACTAGTTTAACAGCAGCCGGAGCCATGAGAGCCAATGTCCTCTTTTCTGTCATGGAGCCTAAGAGACCTTTGTGTTTCATCAGCTTAAAAATGAAGTTCCGCAGCCTCCTGCATCTCTGCTGCTGGCAAGCAGCCACGCTCTTTGCGTTTCCCTTTCCTATAGGGACATCACAGCTTCACATAACAAACTGCTGGGAAATTCACAGGCTCTTCTCAGTGACAACAGCCAAGTAAGTGGTGGGCCAGTTTGCAAACTCAGAAGCACCCATCTGTTTGAACCCCGAGGAGGACTTTCACGTGGGACTGATGTATAAAATATCTCCACTACAAATTTGCTTTGTCTTAAAGTTCTGAAAGTGCAGATGCAAATACAAAACAGCACACTGTGAAGCCAGGAAAGACCTCTCCTACAGAGTTTCAGAGCAGCATGGGCAGCAGGACAGCAGGCTCTGAAAGCACCTCCCAGAGATGGAACTCAGGGAGCTTGCCATTAGCACTGGATTTGGCTCCTGGGGAGGCAGCTACTTCTAATTTGGACCACTTTGGTATATTTTTATTCCTTCTCATAAAGCTTTATGTTGCAAGCAGAGCCGTTTACTGCAGGTTCTCCTGTGCACATTTGCAACAGAAGTTTAAGGTAAGTGAATCAAAATGTGGTATTTCATGTGTCTTGGCGTTGTGGCTTTTGGAGGGTTTTAACCCTTTCTGTGAGGAAACACGGGCTCCCTGTTAACCCCCCACATCCTGATGCAGCATTTTCCTGCCTCCCATTGGATCCCCAGCATCATCCCCAGTGACCAAGCAGCAGTTCCAAGCCCCTGCTCTGGATAGGGCTGCCAAGAAGGATTGTTGGATGCATGGGGCTGAGCTCCACAGAGCATGGGCACCAGCAGCACCTTCCAGCTCTTTGCCATGGGAAGCAGGATGGGTTGCAGCCCTGGAAAGCTTTTCAGTTCTATTTCAAACCTCCCGAATGCATGAGATCTCTGAAAGGCATCAACTCCCTCTAGGACTTTCAGGCATCTTATTTCCCAGGAAATCAATTTCTTCCCAGTTTTAAGTGAGCATGGCAAGAACAACAGCCCACACCAAAACCTTTGGAATCCCTAAGAAAGTAATGTCCTAAATACAGATGCACCAAGACAGTTTGAAAACAACACATTGAAAACTAATTTAAGACAACCATGTTGCTCCAATACACAAAACCCTATGAAACCTACTGGCTTGTGAAATTACAGAGTTCAAGACCGATTTATGAAAAAAAAAAAAAAAGCACAATGACATCTGCAGTATCTCCTCTTTGCTCTATAATTAATCCAGCCTTTTATTTCAAATCATATGAAATACAATACGGAGTAAAAACAAAGGAATAAATATTCTGAAATGATTTTCTTCAGCGTTTCATGCTAAAAATGCTGCGATGCTGGAACGCTAAGTAAACTTTTTTCCTTTGCTTTGAAAATGAACCTTCAGCAAACTAATGTGATTTTGCAAACAAATTCAACTCCAGCGGATGTGCACTTCCCCGAGAAGACACTTTAGATGATGTTTCATCTGTTAGCCCCAGCTCCAAAGCCAAAGACTCATCTTCCTGCCAAGCCCTGCCAAGCCACGCTCTTCATTAGAACCCTTCAGTATCCTAAAGCAAAATAGGTAGAGATTCTCTCTAGGTAGAGAACGGGGTGAAGGGGATGAGATAGGGGAAAGGGCAGGGTTTGTGCGTAAACAGAAGGCTGAGAGGGAAAACAACAACTGCTGTAACAAATTCAAAACAAATATCATTTTGCCCCTTTGGACGGGCTGTGGCTCCCAAAGGAAAAAATATTGGCAAGATCTTTCAGAAAAAGAGCAAAAGGACAGAAACAAAGAGAAGAGCCCTTTTTCAGAGCTTGGAAGACAACTCTTTCCTTGGAGCAGGAGGCAGCTGGCTGTCCGCACCCCAGCCCTGCGGCTGGCTCTGCTCCCCTAAAAGGCGGCCGGGAAGGTTTCAGGCTTGGGAGTAGAAAGCAGATGTGTGATGAACTGGGGGGACCTTGCAGATGTTTGGCCTTTTCCTGGTCCTCTGTGAACAGACGGACTTTTCTCCCTCACAGCTTCAGTTATTTATCCTGCCACCGCACTCCCTTCTTTCCCACACGCAGCCATGGGACCCATTGAACTCAAAGAGAAACTTCTCTCAAACTGAAGAAGGAAAGCTGTTACTGTATTATTATTGGCATCACTGTGAATCTCCCTCAGGCAGAGAAAGAAGCATCCAAAGACCATAAAACTTGGGTCCTGAACAGTGCAGTGTTAGATGACATGTGGAAGAAACAGGTCTTCATTTCAGGAAGGAAAGGAGAAAAAATCTTGAAGAAAGCTCATGCTCCATCTCAGTGGCGTTACAGAATTCTAGAATCATTAAGGGTGGAAAAGACCTCAAGGATCACCTAGGTCAACTGTCTGTCTACCACCAATACTGCCCACTGCCCACATTCCTCAGAGCCACATCTCCATGGTTCCTGTACACCTCCAGGGTCAGTGACCCCACCACCTCCCTGGGCAGCCTGTGCCAGTGCATCACCACTCTTTCGCAGAAGAAATATTCCCTAATATCCAACCTGAACATCCCCTGGCACAACTTGAGGCCCATCCCTCTCATTCTATTGCTGTTACCTGGGAGAAGAGCCTGACCCCCACCTCGCCACAACCTCCTGTCAGGGAGTTGGAGAGGGATAAGATCTCCCCCTGACAGCCTATGTCCCCACAGAGCATCTCAAGTACATCATTGCTTTCTATCCTCAAGCCCTTCCAGAACCCACCATGTGGAATCCCTGGGCAAGAGGTCGTCCGCTGGTCTGCGTGGAAAATTTCACTATCACAGTATAGAACTAAATATTTGTTCAAAGCTTTACTAGAGACTATGCGAGCACATGACTGAACGGAAACTCATAAACTTTTACCGCTGTCTGCCTGATGCCCTCTGGGTATCCGTGCCAGCTGAGAAAAACACCCTGTCCGATGCAGCAAGCACCTTTCTCACTCAGAGGCAAACCTCTCAGTACCTCAGCACACGGGGTTTTGTGCATGATCAGACATCGTTGCCTTAAGTCTTTGTTTTCAGGGAGATGCATCTGCCAGTCGGCAAACGGATTGCAGCACAGTCATTGCTTCCCCCATTGACTGACACAGTTGTTTAGACATCAAGATTTGCAACTCTGAAACTTCTAAACACAAAGATGATCTCACATGTTCAGTAAGAAGAGATTGTTTGGGGGGAAAACCCTCGGAAACACAAAATAGCAAAACATCATATTTTTCACTGAAACAATAACTTAATGACATCTGTCAACCAACAAAACAGGGCTCACATTGGTGCTCTCAGATCTCTGACATCTGAAGAAGATTGCCCAGATGGTTTTCATTTTTCTTCCTCCAAACGAAAACAACCCTTTATCATCATTGCTGACTCTGAGGACAGTTCAGAATTGGTTTGAATCACCTGAACAACCAAGCTCTCTCCTGGAGTCAGAGAGCAGAGCACAAACAGTGATGGAGCAGCCCCCACTGACGTGTTTCTCTTCTGATCCAAACAGACTGCCTTCTGGAAAGCACTGAGCAGACACAGTCATTTTCCATTGCCTGGTCAAGTATTTAACTTCTCCTGCAGAAAACCAACGGTAGCAATTTGTGGGTGATCCCTGGTAAAATGATTAACATTTACACTTAGAACCTAATTCATCTAGCACTGGGCTGAAATCCCTTTGACTGAGCTCACCTGGAATTCCTCCCCACACCCACAACAACCACTGTAAAATCCTGCAGCATACTGACCTATCCCAAAGTGCTCCTGAAAACTTCATCCTGCAGAAGTGACACTGCTCAAGAGTTCAGTGTAGGCTGGTGACTCTCAGGTATGAACATGCAACCCACTTTGCATCCTCTCACTCATTACACTGCCCATAATGACTGTTTTCCTGTAACACCTTTATTTAACACCTATCACAGTTAAAATGATGCTTTGTGCCAGCGGGTCCTTTGTGAGATCATGATCACTGATACCACATCAGTGCAGGTCAAGCCATGACGCACCAGCTACACAACTGACCTGTACACACACCACAATCATGGGCCATCCTTAAAATAAAGCCAATCCAAAGCACTGTTTTGAACTACCACTTTCTTACCCATCGCTAATTCTATCACTTGAACTACTTTTGTTAATCAGCTGCTGTATTAATAAGCAGGGGGGAGAAAAAAAGAAGAAAAAAACCACCCCCCACCAGCTAATCTTACTCTCAGCATTAAAAAACGAATACTGAATCTGTCACGTAGTTGCACTAAAAATTTACTTCACCACCTGCAAGCTGAAATATTGCTTTTATGGATTTATATTGTATTAAAAGGTCACTGG